TCCGTCCAACTTTTATTAATTCAAATTTAATGCAGATTTCTGAAGGGGACATGAATTTTTTGTAGGCTCCGTTTGATCTTAGTGAACTAAAGAGGCAATTTGGAATTGCAGAGGTGAAAAAGCTCCCGGACCTGATAGGTTTTTGGTTCAAACTCATTAAGCATTACTAGCCTTTGATGCAAGATGACATCATAAGATTTGTAAAGCATTTTAAAGAATATGGCTGTCTATCTAGGGGAAGAAACTCCTTTTTTATTACTCTCCTTCCTAAAACCAAAGATCCCCTTTACCTAATTGAATTTTTCCCCATCAGTCTCATATGATGCGCGTATAAAATTATTTTAAAGGGCTAGCTAGCATTGGGAGCTTTTGAAGGGCTGTCTTTAGATGTTCTAATGCTTGCTCTGCTTCTTCTGTCCATTTGAAATTGCTTTTATCTACACATCCCTTTAGCATTGGGAATAGTGGCATGGCCTTCTCATCGGACTTTGAGATAAAGCGTTTGAGTGTTGTTATCTTTCCATTTAGTCATTGCATCTTTGTTAGGTTTCTTGGGGGATTGGTTTCTAGAAGGTCCTTTACCTTGCTTGGGTTTGGTTGTATTCCTTCTCTGGTGATGTAATAGCCTAGGAAATATCCTTCTTCCGCCCCGAATGTACACTTAGCTAATTTTAGCTTCATTTGTGATTTCTCCAGAGTTTTAAGAGTTTCTTCAAAATCTCGTAACAAAGTTGTGTCATTCATCCTTTTGATGACCATGTCGTTGACATATATTCAATGTTTCTTCTGTTTGATTTTAGAAAATCTTATTGACCAATCGCTGGTTAGTGGCCCTCATGTTCTTGAGTCCAAAAGGCATTTTTTGTTGCATAAGGTACCGTGATCCGTGTAGAATGTTGTTTTCTCTTCTTCTTCTTTTTGCATCCATTTATGGTGGTATCCTTTGTATGCATCAACGAAACGTTTCCATTTAAAGCCTTCTAGTGATTCCACTTTTTGGTCTATCTCAGGCAGTGGGTAGCAATTCTTTAGGCAAGCTTTGTTGAGGTCCGTGTAGTCTATGCACATTCTCCAATTACTGTCGTGTTTTCGAACCATAACGGGGTTGGCTATCCATGAGGGAAATGTAGTTTCCCTGAGGATGCCTGCTTGGACAAGTTTGTCTACTTCTACGTTTATTGCTTTGTCATGTCTCCATCTTGTCCCTTCCTTTTTTGTTACTACCGTGCTATCGAGTCTGATGTTTAAATTGTGTTATGTTATTTCTCACCTTATCTTGAACATGTCTGTTGGTTTCCATGTGAAAAAATGGTTGTATTGTCGTAGCAGTCTGAGTAGTTTTCCTCTTGTCTGGGTGGGTAGTGTGGAGCCGATTTTGACCTTCTGTCCCGGATACATGTCATGTATTATCTATTTCTCTTTTAATTCTTCTTCTTGTGGTCTCTTTTCTCTTCTTGTGATTTATTCAGGTGTCATAACCTGATTTCACATAATGGTCTTCCTTATGATGGCTTTGGCGGTTGCTACCCCCGTTTTGTGGGGAATTTAATTAAACCATGGACGATTGATACGACGACTCCAAATTAGAGCATTGTTGTCCTTCCAAGTATAATGTTGTGTCTGGATGTTTCTTGGACAACAACAAAGTGTAGTAGCACTGTCTTTCACTTTGCGTTATTCTCGTTTGTCGATGAAAAGCAGGTGGATTGTTCCTAATGGTGTGACATTCTACAATGCGAAACAGGTTAATCTACCAGGTGATGGTTCTAGCCCCTACCTCCAATGGTGAGGTAGTCGTCTAAAACAATGTTCGGACATGATATATGTCTCACTTCCTCCATCGACGTACACTCTGTGGATTGTCGTGTTTCTTATACAAGCTTGTATTATTAAAGGGTCATCCCCTCCCCAATGTGGGGGAACTTGATTGTGTGGTGAAAAATTTAGCTCTATATTTGCCATGGTTGATGTAGTTGTTCATGGTGCTTTTGTTTGATGTTAGGCCCGAATGGTAAGTATCTATGGTCCTTTCTCTATATTTTTTGGTTCTTCCTTAATTGGTATTATAGTTAGCTTGTTGGTGCTGTTTCTTTCTCTTAGGGTTTTGGATATCTCTGTCTATCTCTTTGAGCATTCCTTTGTGAATGAATTGGTCTAGTACTTTCTTTAGGACGTTATAGTCAGTTGTGTCACGGCTTGACCGTTGAATTCGTAGTGTATGGAATTTTCTGACGGTTTCTTCAAGAATACGTGGGTTCCTTTTGGCTTGTTGGTGATGACTAGTACGTCTGGGCGTCTATATCGTCTTTCATCCCTCTGGTATGGTCGATAGGGATTGTGATGTAACATCACGATTCCAGGTATTTTATATTTTGACCCTTGATATGAGAATCATTTTCATTTTGGTCCCAATGACATTTTTGTAAATGTTCGGAGCGGCTTGCGTATGCTGGGTGTACATGGAATGGACCTAAAACCATAATATTTAGGGTTTTATGCACTATTTATTTATCCTTAACTCTTAATTCCCCCTTCATTCATCAACTTCCCAGCCTCATATTCGACCCTTGCAAACCCTAATCCATTTCTAGAGCAACTTTGAGCCTTGGATGTGTATTTTAGTGATGTTAAGGTAGGAAGAAGGAAGACGAGATGTTTATGAACCTTAATACTACTTTAATAAAAAAATCATTTTCTTATAAAACAACCATGAGTGCATAATATTCAAAAACTATCAACTCACCCTAAAAATAGCAAAACATTAAATGTGGCCTGTTTTCAATTATGGACTTCATCATTACCTTTCTTAACCCAACCCATTTTCATCACCTATATAAACTTTCTTAAACCCTATATTACCTTTTTACGCTAAAAAACCCCCAACTCATCTTCCTCAAATCTTCAAACATTCAAACTGTTCTTCAAAGCACTCAACTAGTTCATCAACGGTATCTTCTTCTCCCACCCAGAAATCCCAAACTGCTTCCAAAATCTCGAAATCCTTCACTAAGAAGAAATATTCCAACGGTTCATCATCAAAAATGTCCACAGAACCGTTTCTCATGGAAACTACTCAGTTGTTCTCTCTCAATCCCAACGACTACGATGAATCAATTCAAGTGATGATCGAGTTCATCGCTCATCATCCAATTGTTGTGCCCCTTTCAAAGGTTCCGGACCCTCCTATTCCTCTTTCTCTACTGCACTTAGACTTCAATCGCATTAAGATTGAAAATGGATTTCTGTAAACACACATTACTGGAGATCGAATTGTACCCATTCACAAATCAACGTTCTTGAAGGAAATTAGGGTTGCAGAAACCCACCAAACTTCACTGTTCAAGAACCCACGACTGAAGAGTTTCAGTCATTTCTGAGTCATATTGGGTATAGCGAAGAATAAAAAGCCAAAAACTTCAAGAAATTGATAGTATCAGGGTTATGGACAATCTTGATGCACTTCATTGTTCGAGGTTTATCGGGTAAGCATGGCGGAATAGACTCACTGAGCATGGATTGGTTGTACGTAGTCTACAACATCTACTTCGGAAGAACAATTGATGTCGATTTTTCTGAAGTGTTATGGCAAGACTTTCAGAAGTTTGCCATCAACCGTAAGCCATACGAGATTTCTATTCCTCTCTTTTGGGATCTTACTATTCAACAACTCTACAAGGAACTCCAAGAACCCATTACTGTTAATGTCATTTCGGAAGAGGTATTTCTCTCATTTAAAACTATCAAGTCTTGTCGCCTTCCGGACTAAAGGTCGTTCGGACCTGTTAGACGTTTACCGGAACACATGTTGGCCCTTATTCCATCTGAATCCCTTTACTTAAAACACCACTTAGAGACTTTGATTGTGTATTTCCCTACACAATCTACCCATGTCTCTGTTGAGCTCATCTCGGACGAGGGAAAAGTAGTTCCTTCTGGAGGCAAGAAAAAGAAGTCTGCTAAAAGAAAGACATCTCCCTTAAAGTCAAAAGCCAAAAAGAGATCCAAATTCGACCCCTCCTCTCAACAGGAAGGAGTTAAGGACATTAAGACTGACATTGGCCAACCTACTACCTCTCCTGCCCACTCATCCGAGGTACCCCTATATGTTTCAAAATCACAAGCACACACTCACGGGGAGTCTGCTCATAATCCACCCTCACCTTCCCAAAAAGGTGATGTCGGTGTTGATGATAGTTCCTTGCCCCTGGAACAAGCCCATGTGTCACATTCGATATCCCACCTTCTTCTACACAAGCACAGTCCGAAACCCCTGTTCCGAACCCTAAGCATTCTGAAGCGGGAGTTGTCCCTCCTACTTCTGATGCCTCAACTGGTCTAATACCTAGAACAAGTACAGGATGACCAAACGATAACGACCCACTATGGGAAGATTATGTTGATAGGTCCAAATCTCAACATCCAGAACTCACAAGATCCCAGGTGGAAGCAACCCTCATCTCTATGAGAAATAGGGCAATCCAAAGCAACATGCCCTTCGTTGTCCCTACTGATGAAGTAATTGATATGGAATTTGCTTTCGGAGAAACTCCCACAAATCCTTTTCATAATGTCATGCATTCCGATCCCAACACTACAAGAAAAATACCCTTTAATGATGCGCAAACAATGACACTCGTAGATACGATACGCATTCTTGTGTGTCCATAAAAATAATGTCAGGTTTCCAAAATCTGAAGGATAGAGGTCAAGCATTTTTGCATGCCTTTAAATTAGTGTCTAAAAATAACACGGAGGGCATCTAACGAAAAAAGGGTGTCCTCTAAAGGTGTCGTTTTATATTTTTTAATGAAGGGGCGCGTTCTCCAATTTTTTTTAATAGCTGGGAAATGAAATACCAAAAAATTAAACACCCCACCATTTATCTCCTTCTCCTTCTACAATCCTCTACCAATGAACCCTAAAAAAATGGGGGTATCTCTAACCTTCGCTTCTTCTAAGCCTCTTGTATCATCCGAGAGGAGCTTACAGTAGCAAAAAAAATGGCGGACTCATTGGTACTCCGCGGCACGATGAGGTCCCACACCGATTGGGTCACCGTCATCGTCACTCCAATCGACAACTCTGACATGATTGACACCTCTTCTCGTGACAAATTACTGAATCACAAATACGACCCCTTATTGGAGATGAGAAGCTTCAAGGCTGTAAAGATTATGTCGTCGTCATACCCGAAAACTCCCAGGTCGATTATCCCTCATTTAAGCGCAGTGTCACTTAATTTTGATAAATTCCTCACTTGGTTTTAATGGATTCTACACATCTAATTTGGGTTTTTATTTGTTATTCTAAACATCCTTGCTTCCGGTCAGCCTAACTCCTTCGAAATATTTAGGGCTCGTTTCCCCTTTCCCTCCAGCCAAAAATTTCCCTTCCCTCCATGAAAGTTGAAATCGACAGCCAAAGAAATTTCCCATCCCTCAATTGAAAATTCATTTTCTAAAATTTTGGTTTGATTGATTATATTCGTGCTTCCTTCACCTTCAACAAGATGCAGGAAACCGCCGCTCACTGGCCGAACTTCAGGTTAGTGTCTCACCTTCAATAGTGTTCACTGATACCCACAATACTTTAATTGATCTTCGGTTTTTACTAACCACGTAATTACAGGTCTCACCATCGATCCCTGGTCTAAGCCTACTAAATATTAAGTTGATTTCTTCTCCATCAGAATGATCTTCTTCCATATGTATGTAATATTTGTTCTATTTTCTTTGCTGCGTTTTTTCTCTAATGGTTTGTCTACCCGTAAATTTGTTTCTTATTCTGAGGTCTAATTAAAAAAGTGTGAGTACTGATTAAGAATTTGATAAGTGTGTGTTATACTAATTTCATTTCTTTTGCTACAGTTAATATTTTGTTTCTTATTGTGAGCCTGATTAAAATTTTGATTACATTTATAGGTAAGTATATATTATGTGTGTTGGTAATGCTCTCTCTGGATATATGTTATTGTGCCTCTTGGACATGGAACTGAACTATGAAAATCTTAAATAAGGTAGATGTTGTTGTGTCTTTGGTTGTATGTTAGTGTGTCTATATGATTTATGTGGGTATTGGTTCCATTGTTATATGTTAACGTATCTTAAGTTGTTAACCAGATACAGCTCAAACTTTTGGTAATTGGGTGCAAAGAGAACAAGTGTCAATAAAGTATGATAAAGTGTAGGCGTCGGTATGCAAAGTGCTATTAATTATTGCCTTTTTTGGTTTTAATTTGCATTATTTTTTCTGAGTTAAGAACTTTACATCTTGCATCAGTACTCGCCTTATAAAGCTTATCGGTCTGTTACTGTTTTGTTTGAGGTTTTAATAGTTGTTAATACTACAAAGTATGTTGAAGTTGTATCGATAAGGTTCCAGGTATGCTATACAGACGCGTGGTAATGTATATATGGCTTTCAACAACAAGGTACTTACTTACTTGTTATTATCCATTTCTCATTAATTATTGCAATTATATCATAATATCACAGGTCTTTCAGGATGCCAGCATGGCTGTCCCATTGCTCTTACCTGTTCTTTTACCAATGGCTCAAATATCTTTCTTCCTCAAGCTTCAATAATCTTGCTTTATCAAGCTGCATAAAAAAGAAGCTTAATCAAATGTCATCTTTGAATACACATGAAGACACAAAACACAGAAACTATGACAACTTATTGCGTTTTTGATAATTTAACTCCAACACGTGTATTTTGGAGAAACAGGGTGTTTAAGATTATAGTGGAGCTTGTATTTATAGATCACCAACCTGAGTTAAATCAACTTGCTGATGTTGTAAGCATATTGATTCCCCTTTCAAGTTCACCTTTCCAGACCCCTCCTCACTTCTTTCACTAGAACCACTTCCATTAATCAATGCCCCTCTTTTCCTCTTCCTCTGAAACGTGTATTGATAACTCTATCGGTCAATGGTTTCCTTGGAACCTTTGTTTTTGAACTCTTTAATGGTGGATCAACCTCCATTTCTATGCTCTTCTATTTCATTATTCCATCTTTCTATGTAATTCTGCTTTCACCATTACACGTTCTTATTAAATCTTTGTCAGAGTTTTCCTCTAAAAGTTTGACTGAAGTTGGAGAAGTCAAACATGAATTACCAGCCGTTAGATCCATCTCCTTTACTACTTCTTTCTCCTCCACAGAGGGTGCTATATGTAATTTATCAACTACTTCATCCTCTTTGACAATTAACTCGGGCTTTGTGTCATCTATTTCGGGTGGGGTCTGTTCGCATGCTTGGATTCTTTGATTACACCCATTTCTATACAATTCGGTTTCTTTGCTTCTCAAGATTATAGAAGGTAAATCCCTATTGATGATTAAAGATTTCTTTAAAGGAAATAAAGAATTATAAAGTCTCTGAGTTTTTGAATTGGGTTGTACTTCGGTAACAGGGGTTCGGGAATTGATGCATTATCTACTTGTACATGATGCTTTACTTGTTTGCTTCTTGGGAACCTTTCAAGTTCTGCTTCAACTGCACTCAACTCTTCCCTGAGGTCTTTTACAATGTCTTCAGCTTCCTGAAGTTGTGCTTCTAGTTCTTCAATTTTCTTTTGTTGTGTGCATGATGCCACTGCAGCTTCATTAGCCTGTCAAAATTTTCAAATGGGTATTCATCATAAGTTTACTTGTGAAAGTTGTTAATGGAAGGCATAAAACTACAAAATATGAAGAAAAAAGTTGTCAATGGGAGCCACAATTGTTCTAATTTGTATGTAAATACAATCCATGCAATCTGCAACTCATTTGCCAATCACGGTCAGTCTTTCTATTCATTACAAATTGGCAACAAAAAAACAGTTACTTCATATCATTTTCAGTGGTATCATATTTTCTTCTTGTTAGCTAGGACTAATGTAGATAATATTTTGTATTTACATTATCCAGCTCTATGTATCTCAACCTAGTCTTAGATCTTTTATTAACCTAGGCTAGCCCATTGAATTATTTATATGTTATTCTATGATATTATTAGGAAATTCAAAGATTAAAGCATACATTAAAACTTCTTTCTGAGTTTGAAAAACAATTAAGACTTTCAAGTGAAAGGTCAACATGGTTCACAGCAACCCTATTACAGTTAGGCGCAGTCCCCTCAGCGGACCCCACTCCTTCCAGAAGCAGTAGAACAGGTTCATATACTAGGATGCTTGTCTGCATATAAATAGGATACATATATCATTACAACCTTCAAGGTTGTTGAAGTAATGAGTAAAAATGGCATAGGCCCAAATGCCAAAAAGCAAAACTGTGAGGCCAATGGGTCGCCTGTTTCTGCAGTTACAAGTCCTGATTTTGTCAACGGTGTTGTACCACGGAGATGTAAGGGAAGATTCTATTAAAACTACTTTAGCACAGGACAACTATCAGTTTGCTAAATTAAGTGATGAATGGAAGTGATGGATTGATAACATTAAAAAAATCATATCTCATAGTATTTTCAAATATACATTTCTCCTTTTGTCTTACAATTGTTATATTGAATGTTCAGGACGATTTAGATAACATAAATCGTTTTCTAATACTAGCAAGAGAACCTATAACCCCAGGAATTGATAAGCCCCATAATGTAATTAAAAAGATAGTTTATTTTATTGTATTTTAAATCAAATTATCAAATCATATATAAACTACCCAAATAATATTCAAATTTTATTTTATCGCCTCAATTTTGCAGACGAGCATTGTGTTTACATTAGAAGAAGGCCCTAGGGTCTTGTTCAATGCTTTAGGTGTGTTTTCTCTAAGGGATATCAACTTATCAAAAGTAAGTTATTTTTTTCACCCTTTTATTTAATATTTTTGTGATTGAATGAAAGTCTTAAATAAGTAATTCACAACCCTTTTTCTGTAAATGATGTTGTGATTGTGGGAGAGGTGTTGTGTTTTTCCTTGTTGCTAGGTAACCTGGTCAACAACAGCATTCTACTTAAGCAGGTGAGTAATCAAGATTAAGGGAGACTTGTAATCATGTTTGGCATTACTTTCCAGTACACATTAAGCGGGTGGTATGTACACAAGGCGTTGGCAGAAACAAATAACATGAAATGTTTCCAGTAAGAAATAGAGTTGTATGATTATTTGTTAGTTTTATTGGAATGTATAACCCATGTTAGCAATGTATTATTTTTGTTTAACGTTTGAGTGATTCTTTGTATGACATTATAATTTGTGCAATTTATTTTATTTTTTGAGTATGAAATTTTATTTTATATTATGCAATGGATTGTATTTTTTGTATATGGTGTTTTATTTCTATTATGAGAAATTAAATGCAAATTTAATTTAAAAATTAATAAATATATAAATTTATTTTTTTTAAACATTTAAATATACGATACGCAAAAATGTGTGTCATCTTCATTTATGACATGACCTATCTTGACAGGGGTTTTCTTGATACGCATTGCGTGTCATTAACACGTGCGTCGTAAGGTTACGACACGCGAATGCGTGTCATCTTCCTTTATAACAGGGCCTTCCTTGATACGCATTGCGTGTCCTAAACGCGCGTCGTAATTGCGTGTCGTGAATGAGCGTTGTGAATGCGCGTCGTCTCTCTTTATGACAGGGCCTTCCTTGACGCGCATTGTGCATCGTCTGAGCCTTTTACGACGCGTAATGAGCGTCGTAAAAGGCTGTTTTTCTAGTAGTGCATCGAAGAACTTTCTGATGAAGTGATGTTTGACGATGAAGGAGCCTCAATCGCTGCTCCCAAGATGTTTTGCTCATTTCCATTTCCTTCAAAGCCTTCCTCATCTAGGCCAGATCCGGACTTTGGACTTTCATCATCCTCTTCGGAATCATTTGATGAAGAAATTAATGTTGAGGATCATGTCCAAGCCACTCTTGAAGGTGAAACTGAGTCCACCCAAAAGAACATTGCTGGTAATCCTACTCCTCCTGGCTCTCCTAAATAGCAACCCAATCAAGAAGATGACAAGCACAAGTCCCGTGATTCCACTTCGGACACTAGATCATCTGTTGGGAAATATATTGATCCTTTTTCCCTTCTTGAAATCCATTCCAATGTCTCCGATACAATAAAGAAAGTGAATACCCTCGAAGCATCAGTATCCAGACTTAACAACAAAATCGATGACAAAGTTTTTGGATTGGATTCGAAGCTTGATGCCATTCTCCAGTTATTATAAGAAGCCAACAAGTCCGGACCCACCACTAAGGAACGAGAAGCTCAACAGGATCAACTCATTTCCTTGAGGCTCAAGCACACCATTGAGGAAGTTAAGAAGAAATGTGATGAAATCGATGAAGTTTCTGGATTGGATTCGAAGTGAGTACCCTTAAAGCATCAGTAGTCGGACTTAACAAAAAAATCAATGACAAAGTTTCCGGATTGGATTCGAAGCTTGATGCCATTCTCCAGTCATTGTCAGAAGCCAACAAGTCCAGACCCACCACTAAGGAATGAGAAGCTCAACTGGATCAACTCGTTTCCTTGAGGCTCAAGCACACCATTGAGGAAGTTGAGAAGAAATATGATGAAAGTGTTGATCACTACCTTGACACCAACACCAAGATGTTAAAGGTTCATAACGATCGATATGCTGAATGCTTCCAACGAACTCATTAATCAAACTCATATTCTTCATGAGAAGCAGATCCAGCGTTTGGAAAAGGAGATTCGGAAGAAGGATGAGATGAATCTCATCATGCAACAGGTCCTCATCAAACTTCTTCGAGCATGTTAGAACATTGTCGATGTTCCGAACCACAAGTTTTACAAAATGATCTCGATCCTTTCCCAGCTATTCTATAACCTTAAATCTCAAGCTTCCACTGCTGAATCCTACGATGCTCTCACCCTTCAGTTCAACACCAGCTTCCAAAAGGTGTTTGAGAAATTTTTTGAAATGAAGGAGTCTCATGTACTTGCATCGGCTCAGAGGTTCACCGATGCAAGAGGGGGAGAAGGTCCAAGTCATAGAAATCAACCATGGAAATCTGCCTCGGAACATCAGCTCCGAGATTAAAATTATGATAATGAAGTCCAAGTGCTTTTCGTACTTCTAGGAAATGATGAAGATGATGATGGAAGTGATGAAGAAGAAGTGGAGTATGTCACCAACGCCATAGTAGGTCTCTAAGTTCCAAGGAAGCTTCCTACTAATATATTGACAGAGGAAGAACAAAGAGTTTGGTCTATAATCTCAAGGCCAACTACACTACCTGATGTTCTCAAAAGAAGTATTTAAATGGCTAAGGGCAAAACCAAATTGATGGTTGACGCCTTCCGGGCCACTTCATCCATGCTACCTCCTATTTCAGCTCCAATAGTTGTTCTAATCGATGAAGGCTCTCCTTTTCAGAAGCCAGATGATAATCCGGAAGAGCCTCTGCCTTCCTCTCCTCCAAAGTTTTCAATCGATGAGAATATGCATCACATCCACTACGCTTTTCAAAAGCAACAATACAAGGCTAAGAAGCCCATCATTGAAAGCCATCAAAATCATTACCTCGGACCTCTAGCAAAGCCAAAATTAGGCTGGTGTCATGAATAGATCCTTCAAGCTCTTGAAGAGAGATCCGAATCCAATCTTTTAAGGATGACAATCCCCATTTGATGCTAGGGTTCTATCCACTCTGCCGAGAAGGAATCCTAAAGGATGTAGACATAGTGCCTTTCATGTACTATGACACTCCCAATAATGATTCGGAACAACTTGATCTCCTCTTTCTCCCTTCAGCAAGTTCTACACAAAATTTTCCCCTCTCCATCCGGAGGATGATTGTAGCACCTGGTTCCTGGTACGTAAAATCTATCTAAGTATTTTCATTTCTTTAGCCTTGGACTCGGCGAGTTGTAGGCCCGACTCGTCGAGTGGAGACGGGTTTGGGAGCACGTTTAAGTTGGCGACTCGGCGAGTCCCAGCTACCTGATGAAACTCTAAATTTTAAGGGTTTTCACCCTATTTAAACCCTCTTATCCGCCCCCAAGCTCGCCCCCTTCACCCTCAGAGCTCCCTATATCGTCCAACCCTTGTTCCTTGTGAGATTGAAGTGATTTGGTGTGTTTTCTTGAAGATTTTGAGAGAAAAGGAGAGTAGATCAAGAAGAGAAGAAGGAGACCAAACATCTTGGTGTTATTTCAGTGATTTCCTTGAGGTATAACTCAGCTTCCCTCTGTTTTCATGCTCGTTATCCCTTGTAGCTCCATGAAAGTCCTTCTTGAGACTTTCCCCAAGCTTGTTTGTGTATTAGAGTTGATAATAAGTTGTTTAACCTCTAGATCTAGGCATGATTGAGCTCCAGGAGCTTGGATCTACTGCCTTTATGGAGCCATAGTGCATGAAAGCCCTAGATCTACTCTTTTGATGCATTTTGAGCACTAAAACCCTCATGGGTGTTTATTTATACGTAAAGTTTGAAACTTTACATGTAAACCAGGCCCTAGAAACCCAGATCTATGAATGGCATGGGCTGGATTCAAGCAGAATCGCGTGTATAGTATTTGCATGTGGCAGACTCGACGAGTCATTCATCTGACTCGGCGAGTTGAGTTGCGAGTCCCCGAGTTTTCCCCTTTTTCGTGTTTGCGGGTTGGAGTAGTGAGTCATAGGGTGTGACTTAGTGGGTTGGAAACCAGACTCACTCATGTAGTAACTCGGCGAGTCAATGCCATGACTCGACGAGTTCAAGGCAATCTTCTTGCCTCAAGAACGGACTCGGCGAGTTGTTCATACAACTCGACGAGTCTCAACATAGTGTTCTTTAGATGAAGGCGAACTCGACGAGTTGTTCATAAAACTCGACGAGTAGAATGAAGGACGTTTGGTCATCAGCTTAGAAGGAAAAGTCGTCGAGTCAATGCCAAACTCGACGAGTAGAGACGGGATAGTGGTCAGACAAAGGGATAGGGACTCGGCGAGTTGACAAGCCAACTCGGCGAGTCGGGTCAACTGGAAGGTGACTTTGACTTTGACTCATGGTTTGGTTAAGGGTAAATGGTCAGTTTACCCTAAGGTCGGTTAGCAGTATTTGACTAAGTGTTTGGTGGGAATTGCAGCCGGAGGATTTCCGGAGCAACAGCAGCAGACAAACGGTTGCCACACAGATCAGCAGCTACGAGGTGAGTTACCTTCCAGTAGCGGTGGGTCTACGGCCACAATGTCGGCCCACCAGTAGGATTGTATGATAGA